CCTTCTGAAAATCGAGGAGCCAGATCGGGCCTGCCTCAAAACTCGTCGCATCCTGATTAGAATCTGGTCGTCGTTCAGCTGACCTTCAGACGACGCGGTGGCATCGGTGGCGGGGCCTCGTGGTCCATGAAGAATTCGTAGAGGCGGGCGCCCTCGCGCCGCCCGAACTCGAGCGTGCTGGCCGTCGCCTTGTGCAACCCTGCCTATGCCGTGGCCTCCTTGTCGTACCGCGTGAGCATCGCGTCGCTCCTTCAGCGGTTTCTTGAATTGACCTCGAGGGCCGAGCGGTACTGGCACAGAAGGTTGTGCGCGGCGTCGCCCTGCCTCGGGCCGTAGACTGTCCGGCCCAGGCCCTCGAGACAGAGGGCCTCCGCGGACGTCAGCCTCTGCCTGAACAGGTCGTTCCGCGGGGGACTCCAGATCCGATCGTTCGGGGACTTGCGCGTCGCCTCGAGGACAGCCAGGCAGTCGTGCAGGCGCGGGATGCCGTCGAGCACTGTGCTCTCGTCGAAGGCACCCACCTTTGACGGAGATCCCAGCTCCCTCGGCCCCGGTCGCAGGGCCCACGTCTGCTGCCCGCAGCTGGCACCCGTCCTTGGCAGGATCCGCTGCAGGCTCATGATGGCGTCGTACTTCTCCAGCTGGTGGTAGCCATGGAACGCCCGCAGGGGCGCGATGGCGTGCTCCAGCAGCCCACTCGCGACCATGTACCCCGCCAGCGCGGCGGCCAGCATCCGCGGCACAGGCATCCTGGTGATGCGGGGCACCACCTCGCTCCAGCCCGCCAGCGCCCGCGCCGCGCGGGGGGGGCTCTGGGCGCCGTGCAGGCCGACCTCTGGGTAAAAGAATCTCACCGCCGCCAGGGTCTTGCTGGCTACGTCGCTCAAGCAGCCCAGGAAGAAGAGGCGGTCCCTGTGCTCCACCAAGGCCTGGTCGAACTCCCCGACGGCCGCGCGCGTCGCCGACGGCCCAGGTGAAGAAGATCACCAACCGCTTCTGGTAGTCGGTGAATGTTGCCTCGGCCACCGACCGAGACTCCAGGAAGGTGGGCAGGAACGAGCCGGGGGGGGGGCCATATCTGCTGATGGCGGATGGCATCGGGCCCTTCTCGCGGCTGCAGCCGCTGCCGACCACGTTGCTCCCAGCATCTCCGAGGTCGCCCCGCGCGGGTGCGACCTTGCCGAGGGGCAGGAGGCATGGCGCGGCTGGAAGGTCAGCCCCAGCAGCACCAGCAGCCAGACCAGGGGGCCCGCCCACCTCGTCCTGCGACTTGAGGAGGTAGAGTCCTCCTGAAGGGTGGTCGGCCTGGTTCCTTTCGGACGGGGCCCAGCGAACGCACGCCTGAATGTCACAAGCGAGAGTGAGCGCCGAAATCTCCCCGGGGATATCTCGTAGCTGGAACGCGGCCGAGCGGCCCTTCCCAGCCGCGAGGGCCAGGCCGAGGTTGTCGACCAAGAGCAGTAGACGATGGCCGAAGGCCCCTCGATCGCGAAGGAGGCGGCGAAGCAAGTTAGACAGAGCGAGCCCCTCAAGCCGAAGAATGTTCGCCGGGCCCCGCCACTGCAAAGACTCGACGATGTGACAGGCCTTGGGGCAAGCGAAGTCCTTGTCTATCATGTCGAACGCTCTGGCGCGCTCCTCGGCCCGCTTCTAGCTGTCTGGCAAGTCGTCCTGGACCAGCGCGTCGCCCAGCCTCTCGGCCTCCCCGTCGAAGGCGTGCGCGCGGGCAGCGGTCGCCCCCTGGCGATGCCTCCGCCGCTTGGCGGTGCGGCCCCAGCGAGCCACCTGTCACCTTGCAGCGCCAGCTGCGGCTGGTGCGCGCGACCATCCTGGGGAGAGGGCTCCTGACATGCTCCAGCTCCTCCTTCACGGAGGTCCACGGAGTGCCAATCTCGCTCCCCAGTATCTCGATGAAGGGGTAAACGGAGCTGAAGATCGACAACGTGGACCTCTGCGCCATCATGGTCTACGCGGCGTGTCCCACGACAATCTCCAGCACGTGTCCGGAGCAGGAGCCGCGCCTCGGCAGCTCCTCGATGGCGAGCCGTAGCCGCCACATCCGCCTTGTGGAGATCTCGATCGCGCGCCCCTTGCCGTCGAAGCTGAGGCCCGCGAAGTCCGTCTGGCACGCGGCCCCGTCGGTCTCCTCGTGGATGACAAGCTCCCGGGCCCTCAACGCGGAGGCGACCGACTGCCCGCCGGCCGCGACTCGCTCGCGAGGTCCCCCATCATCATATGTAGTTGTCCACATAGCCCGCAGCAGCGCCAGCGGCCTCGAAGGCCCCAGCGGCGTCGCGGCCTCGCGGTCCTTCATCAGAGCGCCTGGGCCACGCCCGCCCCGGGAGATGCCCTCCTCGGTCACCATCTGGCAGAGGTGCAGCGCCCAGCTCCACCCCATGGGCAGTGCGGACAGCGCCGGCGTGTACATCGCGGCGCCCGCAGAGCCTCGAAGACCCGCTGCGCCACCTCGCACGCTGGGGGGCCTGAAACTCGAGCCGAG